GCGCTGTGTTGGACAGCGTGTGTTCCTGGCTCTGTTCAGCCCACAGCACTCATCGACACGGTGCGTACGTGGTGTTGGTGCACACGCTTCACTTTGACAGGTACTGATCTACGTCGTTGATGCCAAAGCGATTTCCACGGACAAGAAGAGCGAGGAGGAGGACAGGACGTGGTTTGAAATGTGCATCAAATCCCTCAAACAGGTGCGCTTTTGTGTGTGTGTGTGTGTGTGTGTGTGTGTGTGTGTGTGTGTGTGTGTGTGTGTGTGTGTGAATACGTGTGACTGGTTGTGGGCTGCAAGTATTTGCAGCTTGCAAGTGCTGGTTACTTTCATCCTGACATTTCAACCCGTGTCTGCATGTGTCTGCATGTGTCTGCATGTGTCTGCATGTGTCTGCATGTGTCTGCATGTGTCTGCATGTGCATGACAGCACTCGCCAAGTGCAAAGACGTTTGTGCTCCTGCACAAGATGGATCTCGTCTCAAACTTTGAGCAGCCGAACGTACGTCCTTGCTTCCTTGCTTCCTTGCTTCATTGCTCCAACTTGCACAGCTGCGCTCATCTATCTGCTGCGCGTTCAACAAGCATCGCACAGCCACGCACGTGAGCACAACAAAAAAAAAAAAAAAAGGCAGGCAGACAGCGTTATGATGTCAGCACACGGCTCAAGTGCAACAATACCGCGCAACTTGTGGCAACCGCCGTCACACACCATCCACCCCCACCCACCACCACGACCATCCACCACCCACCACTCCTTACGTCTCACCGGCTCACCGTGCATGTCCGTGTCGACGGCTGGGCGCAGGTTGTGCGGGGCACGGTGGACATGCTGCAGGAGCTTGCGGGCGACCACGAGCTGACGTGCTTCCAGTCGAGCATCTGGGACGAGTCGCTGTACCAGGCGTGGTCCCGCATCTGCACGTACCTCCTGCCGGGCGTCGAGGTGTATCGGGAGAGCCTCAACTCGCTCATCCACGCCATCGGCGCACGCGAGGTTCGTGCCGCTTCTGGTGGTGGTGGTGGTGGTGGTGGTGGTGGTGGTGGTGGTGGTGGTGGTGGTGGTGGTGTGTATGTGTGTGTGTGTGTGTGTGTGAGTGAGTAAGTGTGTGTGCGTGCGTGTGAGTGAGTGAGTGTGCGTGCGTGCGTGCGAGTGAGTGAGTGAGTGTGCGTGCGTGTGAGTGAGTGAGTGAGTGTGCGTGCGTGTGAGTGCGTGCGTGTGAGTGAGTGAGTTTTGTGCAGTGAGCGAGCAACCAGAGTGAGTGTGCGTGTGTGTGTGTTTGCTTTGTTGCAGCCTGTGTGCTTTGTTGCATCTCCTGCGTGTGTCGACAGTGCTCACACTCCGCCCATGCTCCCCGCCATGATCGCCAGGTTGTGCTGTTTGAGAGCCGGACGTTCCTGACGCTCGTGCGCGAATCCCGCGAGGCGGATCCCGCCGAGGACCAGCAGCGGTGCGCACGCCACACCGCCATGCCTCATGCGTGCTCGTGGTGTCACACAGGGGATGGTGGCGGTGGTGGTGTGTGGTGGTGGCGTGGTGCATGGGTATGTGTATGTATTTGTGTGTGCACATGTGTCTATGTGTGCTTGTGTATTCGTCGGTGCAATGGCACATTGGATCTTTCTCTCTCTCTCCCTCGTCTCAGCTCATCGGGTGGACACGTTTCATGTGTGCGCACGCGTGTCTGTGTGGCAATTCACAGGTTTGAGCGCGTGAGCACCATCCTCAAGCACTTCAAGATCACCTGCTTGTAAGTGGCCGTGCTCTATGGTGCGCGTTTGGTGTGTGTGTGTGTTTGCCTGCGTGTGTGTGAATTTTATTGCTTGTTGTGATGCCAACACACACACACACACACGCACAATGCACACACACGCACACAATGCACACCACAAACACAACACAACACAACATACACTGCATGCATACATGCAGGAAAATGCAGACGTCGTTCCGGGAGATGCAGATTTGCAATTCCGAGTTTTCTGCGTTTCTGTGGCCGTTCACGACGAGCACCGTCGCCCTCATCATCCACGACCGCCCAGACGGTCCGCTGCTGTTTTGGGGAGAGAGAGAGGGGGGGGGTTGGTGGGGAGGGGAGGTGACATAAGAGGCATGTTGAAGCGGAAGTGGCGTGTGTGTGTGTGAGTGTGAGTGGATAAGAGGGGCCTGTTGAAGTAGAAGCATCATGCGTGCGCGTGTGGATGTATTTGCGTTTGGATGTTTGTTTGTTGGATGACCATCCCTACTTACACCCTTCTCACAAAGCATTGTTTCGCTCTGTTTGGTTGTCATCCCTGTTTTCGTTCCCCCCCCCCCCCCCCCCTCTCTCCAACCACGATGAGGACAGAGGTTGAGATGGTGCAGGCGAATCTGCAGCTTGCGCGCGGGCACTTTGCGGAGCTGGAGGCGCAGGTGATGAAGGTGCCGCTGCCCGGCGCACACAACTTTGACGACGACGACGACGATGAGTACGACGATGGGGAGAATGGCGAGGAGGGCGCAGAGGGGAACAGCAGTGACGATGAGTACGACGATGCAAGGGACTGAGCGAGGAGGGAAGCAGTAGTAGGCGTGCGTGTTTGTGCGAAGTGTGCGTGTGTGTCTGAAGATGGGTTGAAGGGCAAAGGGGTGAGGTTTAAATGTTTGGTTGTGTGAGAGGGTTGGTTGCTTGCTCTCGAAGTGAAAGTTTGAGTTGAGTGTCTTTCAGTTGGTGCCGTTGCTGTTGGCTTGCGTGGTGGGTTTGTGTATGGGTAGCTGGTGAGTGGTTGTCTCTCTTTTGTGTGTGAGTGTGTGTGGTTGTGTGTGTGGCGTTTTTGTGCAATGTGCAATAAGCCAAAGCAAGCAAGATGGCAGAGGGAAGCCAGGGAAGTAAGGGAAGAGGAGATGGTGAAGGAGGAGAGGTGCAGGGAGAGGAGGAGGGAACGTACAACACACACACGTACAACACACACACACACACACACACACACACACACACACACACACACACACACACACACACACACACACACACACACACACACAAAACAACAAAAAAAATCGCCACACCAACAAGCAACTCAGCACGCAAGGAGCAGAAGAAGGAAGGAGCATGCGGTGGTCGTTGACACCGGCGATGATGGTGGCGATGATGGTGGTCTTGGTGGCGGTGGCGGCAATGCTTGTGCCGCTGCCATCACGGGCCAACCCCGTGTATGCAGCCGATGATGAGGTGGAACTCTCTCCGCCCATGCAGTTCATGGGTGGTGTTAGCGCGCACGCCAGCGCGTCGGCACCGCTGGCCGGCGGGGGTTTTGACCGCCACAGATCCAAGCGCGAAGTTGTGCCAAGCAGCACTGTGAGCACGCCGCTGACCACGACGCCCAACGCCACGGCTGGCGGCGGAGACGACGGCGAAGGTGCAGGTCTTCTCACGTGGCACAGATCGTCCTGGGTGTTCGTGCAGAGCCCCGGCTCGCGCCTGTCCCACACAATGGTTGGCCTGTCTCCACGAAAGGTCAACGGCACCCTGGACTCTGCCGCCAACGGCCGAGCCCTGCTCTTTGGCGGCGAAACAGCGCGGTCGCCCGTCAACGTTGTCCTGAACAACGAGCCGTTTGTGCCCAGCAACGACCTGTGGTTGTTCAACGTGCACACGGCGTCCTGGCACATGCTCGCACCAACGGGCCCACGCCCGCCACCACGAACCGCGCACGTCGCTGACCTCGTCGTCCTCAACGGCCTCGATCACATGTTCGTCTTCGGGGGCATCATCTACGAGCGCGGCAACATCAACTACCGGTTCCTCTCAGACCTGTGGCTCTACAACGTGTCGGAGAACGCGTGGGACAAGCTTCAGCTGGCGGATGGCTCACCACGACCACATCCACGCTCAGGCATGGACGGTGCCATGTGCGGCCCCACAACACTGTACATCTACGGCGGAACCTCCACAAGGGGGTGCACAGTGGACATGGAGGAGTGCCCGACCGATGGGGCTGACGCGCTGATTGTGAAAGAAGACCTGTGGAAGCTTGAGTTCGATGCGCCCGGACCGCTGCAATGGGAGCTCATTAGCACGCCCGCATCGCCGGGCCTGCGCTCGTCCCACTCCATGATATGCATGCGTGACACGCTCTATCTCCACGGCGGTGTGGCAGCGCCCATCCACTTTGCGAACCGATCCGCGAGCTCGTCCCTCGCTGTTGTGGACGATGGGTTCATCTGGACCCTGAACACCACACAGCAGCCACTCAACTGGATACAGGTGCGTGTTGTGTTCTGTCATGTCGTGTCGTGCCGTGTTTTGTGTTGAGTCTCTGTTTCCCTCAATGTTCCTGCTTTCTCTCTCAGTCACACGAACACCCACCCACGCATTCACGCACGCACACACACACGCACGCTCACGCTCACACACACGCACGCTCACACACACACACACACATATTAACGCATGTACGCAATGCGTTCCCATCGTGCAGTCGCCCGTTGCGTATTCGTTTGTGGTGGACGACACGTTCTCCAAGGAGCAGTTTGTGTCGAGCTTTGCTGCTGTCACTGTCCCCTTCTCTGAGAACACGTTTGGTGTTGTTGGCGGCCAGCACCTCGCAACAACCTGGAGACCCTTCATCCTTGGTGTGTGTGTGTGTGTGTGTGTGTGTGTGTGTGTGTGTGTGCGTATGCTGCTGCGTGTGTGCTTTGTGGTCTTGCTCCTCTCGAATACCTGTTCTCCACACACACACACACACACACACACACACACACACACATGCCACTATCATCTCACACTCCATTCTCTCCAATCTCTTTTCTGGCGATTGCAGTGTTTGACATTGACAAGTCTGAGTGGACCATTTTCCCTCCCACCCTCACGTACGTGCAAGGCATGCATTTTGATGCGCGTGCTAGCTGAGGAAGGGAGGGGTTGGGTGGATAGCATACCAAACTCTATGCACAGCAGCTATCTCTCTGCAATGTTGCAATGCACGTTTACACGCATTTACACACATACACACACGCACTCATACACATCTACACAACGCACACATACACATCTACACAACGCACACATCCACGCACACACGCACACACACGCACACACACGCACACACACACACACACACACACACACACGACACGCACATACACGGCCACTCTACATTACACCCCGCCCGTTCGCCCCCCCCCCCCCCACACACACAAAACAACACACACCACGATGCAACCGCATGCACCAACCCCTTGCACGTGTTCCCTCGTCAACAGGCAGCTGCAGTCGTCCTTCCGCGTGTTCTGCGCAGCAACAAACGTGGCCGGCACTGTCCTCTTCCACGGTGGACACAACATCCTCACTGTCCTGTCAGACCTTCATCACGTCATTCCGGAAAACCGGCTCGTGTATCCGGTGCCGCAGCAGGAGTTCCCTGTGGAGCGCGCGTACGCCGCTGTCACGTTTGCCCGCGACCAGAACCTACTGATTATCCAGGGCGGCTTCAACGGCCAGGTGCCGCTCACGGACCTGTGGACGCTGGACCTCACCACCAAGACGTGGGAGCACACCTTTGACCGCAACCCGCTCGGTGCCCGTTTTGGCCACTTTGTGCACGCGCACGGGAAGCACGTCTTCTTTGGGCTTGGCGCCTCCCTGGTTGGCCTGTACAAGGACATGTTCGTGTTTGACCTTGAAACGAAGCAGTGGTCTGACGTCACGCTCAACAACCCGGAGCACTACTTGAAGGAGGACTTGCCTCGCGTCAGCCCCATGTACGCGTCCTACTCCCCAACCGGCGGCAACACGGCGCCCACCACGCACATGCTCTTCTTTGGCGGGCTCAGGCTCGTGGGCATCGACGAAGGGTTTCTGCGGCAGGTGCATTTCATGGGCGACACGTGGATCCTCGACACGAGTGACGTCACGGCCCCGACATGGTCGCGCGTTGACGTGGAGCCTGGCCAGGCCCAACCCATTGCGCGAAACCTTGGCGCCATGACGCCATTCCAGCTGCCGAGCGGCCGCTTGGGCATCTTCCTGTACGGCGGGTTTGCCACGCCCGGCATCGAGGCGGGCACACCCATCAAGGTGCGGGACGTGCTTGATGTCACTGAGATTATGAGCGACGCGTGGGTGTTCTGGGCAGACACCAACACCTGGCAGGAGCTCAATGCCCGCCTGCCTGGCGCGCGCGCTGCCCACTCTGTCACGTTCATCAGCTCCCACATCTTCCTGTACGGCGGGACGTCACAGAAACCGCACAGCGGGGACATCTTGGGCGTGTCGACGGTGATCAGCACCGAAGACACGTGGGTGCTGCGCATGGACACGCTTGACGATCCGAATGCCAGCATCTTCCAACTAGACGGTGCCGACAGCGACAGCGGTGCTGGCGCAGGCGAGCAATCGCGCAGACGCGAATCGCATCCATCATCACCATCATCATCATCACCATCATCATCATCATCATCATCATCGTCGTCGTCATATGTGAGGCAGCGCCGGCAGCAGCAGCGCCCGCTTCCGGAGTCTGTGGGTGCGGCACAATCACTCGACAACTGGCTGCTAATGCCTGCATCGCTCTCCATCCCGCGCGCACACCACTTCATCTTTGGCGTCAACAACTCCCTCCTCGCCTGGGGCGGCCGTGACTCGCAAGGGTTCCACGACACCAACGTGTATGACCTGCGCCTGGCGTGCCTGCCCGGCTTTGCTTCTGCAACTGGCGACTTTGCAGACTGCCAACCCTGCGCTGTGGGCAGGTTTCAATCGTTGATTGGGCAGACGCGGTGCTTTGGCTGCCCACCAGATGTCACCACCGCCTCTGAAGGTTCTGCATGTGTGTGTGTGTTTGTGTATGTGTGTGTGTATGTGTGTGTGCATGTGTATGCCGCTGGCTTGCTTGCACACATGTATTCGTCAATGTTCTTGTGCAAGTGTGTCAACCTTCGCCGTGATTCACCGCCTTGTTGTCGTTGTCACGCGTGACCATTGCCACCGCCAGGCGCGAACAACCCTGTCATGTGCAGCGTGTGTCGGCGCGGCTACTGCCGCCACGGCAGCTGCCACGTGAGCGACCGACTTCTGCCTGTGTGCGACTGCAGCACGGGCTGGTCTGGAGATCGCTGCGAATTCAACCTCGCCGCGTCCATCTCCCTCAGCGTCCTTAGCAGCTTGCTCGGCCTGGGTGAGTTGTGCTGTTGGTGATGTTGTGTGTATGTACATGTGTACATGTGTGTGTGTGTGTATGTGTGTGTGTGCACGACAATGTCACCGCCGCTTGCCCGGCCCGAAATCAATCACGCCACACCAGCGTCGTTCTCGTTCCATGCGACTGACCATCGTGTTTTGACCGCCACTGCTGTCATGTCAACAGTCGGTTTTGCCTACCTCATCCACCGGTATCGCAAGCGCGCAGGCAAATTCAAGTGAGATACCCCGTGTCACATGCTTGTATTTGTGCACGAGTGAGTGAGTGAGTGTGTGTGAGTGAGTGAGTGTGTGCGTGTGTTTTGTGTTGTTGACCTGGCTTTCCTTTCACTACCGACCTTGTTTCGCATTCGTACTCATTCGCGTATGCACTCGTGATTGACCGTCTCTCAGGACATATGCGCAACTGCAGGAGAAATTGCTCGGCGAAACCAAAGAAGAGCTGGAAGAACTCGGTACCCGATACCTGTGCATGCGCTGCCATTCACTCGCTCGAAATGATCTCATGCACACATCCATTCGTCTGAATACTTTGCAGTACCCATGCAGCCTCTTACACCACACACACACACACACACACACACACACTACACACACACACACACACACACACACACACACACACACACACACACACACACACACACACACACGTGTCTTTAGAGCGCGCGTGGGAGATTTTCCCCGACGAGCTGCAGTTTATCAAACGGATCGACACAGCGTCGCCGGGCGCCTTTGGACAGGTTTGGCTGGCAAAATTCTCCGATGTTATGGTGAGTCAAGTCAAGCAAGCCGATGGGTCGATGAACTGCTGTCATTTTGCACTGTTGATGCACGTACAACAGTGCATTTGCTTGTGCCGAGTGTTTCGCTGTTGATATTTTGTAACGGAACATGTACACATGTGTACCCACACACTCTCTCGCACACACATACACACACACACTCTCTCTCGCTCTCTCACACACACACTCTCTCCCTCTCTCTCTTTCCCCGCCTTCCAGGTTGCTGTGAAGCGGCTGAAGCACGAGCTTGAGGAGCTGGATGAGGAGGCGCACGCAGAGTTCATCTCCGAGATCAAGTTCATGCGCGGGCTGCGGCACAAGAACATTGTGTACTTTTACGGCGCTGGCTTCATGAACAACCAGCCGTTCCTGGTGGCGGAGCACATGGCACGTGGTGCCCTGGACACGAACCTTGCCGACAGTTCCATCGACCTCAGTTGGCGCCGCCGTTTGGGCTTTTTGCTCGACACCGCAAGTGGAATGAACTTCCTGCACTCGCTCAACCCACCGCGCATCCACCGGTGTGTGTGTGTATGTGTGTTTGAGCGCATGTGTGTGTGTGTGTCAATGCATTTGCGTATGTGCGTGTGCGTGTGCGTGTTTGTGCGTAGAGACCATGCTTTCTTCCCTCTCATTCTTTCTCTCTCTCGGATTTGCTTGGCCTGTGATTGCAGTGATCTCAAGAGTCCCAACCTCCTCGTCAACGAGTCATGGGTCGTCAAGGTGAGCTCACCGCCATCATTTGACCCAAAACACACACACACACACACACACATACACACACACACACACACACACACACACACACACACACACACACACACACACACACACACACACACACACACACACACACACACACACACACACACACACACACACACACACACACACACACACACACACACACGCACTGACACTGCCGACTCTGCCTCACTGCCTGTCCAACATGAGTTCAGGTGACGGACTTTGGCACGGGCCGTCTCGTGGAGCACTTGCAGGCGGATGCTGCGCAATCCCTCGAACTCACAGACTCCATGTACGGTGCAACTGCCGTTGCGTGTGCGATGCGAAGGCGCTGTTTCTGTAAATGTGTGTGTGTGTGTGTGTGCGTAAGGATTTGTGTCAGTGTCTGTGGGTCATACACCCACAGTGTGACACTCACCCATGTACATTCGCACACACACGCAGGCAACCGACGATGACGTCCAATGTAGGGACGCTGTTGTGGTGTGCACCAGAAGTGCACGCAGGCAAGCTGTATTCCCTTTCAGCAGACGTGTACAGGTGCGTGCGACACGAACACCGTGCAATGAACGATAATGATGTGTGAGTGTCTGAGAACAAACACCGCAGCTTTTCAGACGGTGCAGTTGTGTGGCTGATGTACAAGCCGCTGCTCTGTTCACTCACGCTATCTTCCATTGGCACACACACACACATCCATATGTACACACTACAGCTTTGCGATTGTGATGTGGGAGTGCGCCACGCGTGAACTTCCATTCAACGAAATTGAGTCGCCGTGGGATATTCGCGAAGTGCGTAGCAGCGAGAATAATCGCCGTGCTGTGCTGTTTCCTGATCCTTTCAACGAAAAACACTCACTCCCTCACACACACACACACACACACACACACACACACACACACACACACACACACACACACACACACCCTCACACCCACGCACGCACGCACGCACACACGCACGCACGCACTCAATCTCAATCTCACCATGCCCCGCACTCGTTCACTGCATCGACCATGCCGTGCTCTCATCTTGTCCTCCAAAAGGCCGTTGATGGCGGTCACCGCCCGCCGCTTGTGGACGACGCCCCCGCGGGCTTCAACGACCTGATGCAACGCTGCTGGCACCAGGATCCGGCAGAACGACCCACGTTTGCAACTGCACTCGTCCTGCTCACGGCGATATATGAGGCCATTCGTGATGATGGCTCCACGGGTGTGGCGGCTGCAGCGCCGCGATCATCATCGTCGTCGTCGTCGTCTGTTGGCCGTAAACCCACAAGCAGCGGCTCAGAAGGCGTGTCCTCAACGCATATGTGATAGTGAGAGGCAGTGCGTGTCAGTGTTAGTGCTAGTGAGTGTGCGAGAAAATGGACGTGTCAATGTGTGTGTGCGTGCGTGTGTGTGTGTGTGTGTGTGTGTGTGTGTGTGTGTGTGTGTGCACCGGCAATTGGAGTGGATTGTGGTTGTTTGCGTGTGTGACCAGAACTTTTTGTCCTGTTTTGTGTTTCAGTCGTGGGCTTTTGCGTGTGAGTAGTCAACAACCAAGTACCCCCCCCCTTCTTTGTCATGTCTCTTGTTCCTTTGGTCATTTTCTTCAGCTGTCCTTGTGCATGTGTCATTAAACGAATCATTGCGCCTCCCTCATGAACACCAACGCACATGTTGCCTCCTCGCTCCTTCATGGGCCATATCCAGCTTTGCTTTGTGACCAATCACTGTCATAATTTCACGTACACACACACGCACACATCTTCCACGGTTGCAGGAGTCATTTACACCCTCCCCCTCCCAAATCTACTCGACATGACACACACACACACACACACACACACACACACACACACACACACACACACACACACACACACACACACACACACACACACACACACACACACACACACACACACACACACACACACACACACACGCACACGCACACGCACACGCACACGCACATACACACACATTTCATGTCTTGTCATTCCATGAGCAAGTGCTGCACATCTTCATCAGCATCACTGCGCAAACTCTCATCCGAGTCCTCCTCATCCTGGCTCACGTCCACACGTGCGGTTGCCACCTCTTCGTGTGTACCATCACCAGCATCTTGTTGCCCCACGTGCCATCCTTGTTGCTCTTGCTCTTCCGGTCCTTCTTGTTCTTGGTGTTGGCGTTGGTGTTGTTGTTGTTGTTGTTGTTGTTGTTGTTGATGCAGCAGCTCTTGCTGGTTGTCGTGATGATGGTCGTGGGGAGCAGCCACTTCTGCCGAAAACTGCACCGCTTGCCCCCTTGCCGTTGCTGTATTTGTCGCCGGTGTTGTCGAGGTTGCTGTTGCTTCACGTTCCGTCATGGCGTGTGCGTGCAAGGGCACAGCAGTGCCCGCTGACTTGTCCAGTTGTGCTGTCACTTGCGTCCCCGCTGGCGTCGCGCGGCCGCTGCCATACTTGCCCAGCGTGGACAGAGACGTCATCTGCGAAGCAAAGTGGCGTTTCATCTTGTCCAGGAGCCTGGCGTGCTGCGTCCGGCGATCGCGCAGCAGCTGCTGGTTGCTGGCATACAGTCTGTCCACTCGGTACTGCAGCTCTGCGTACTCGCGTTTCAGCTTCGCCGCCTCCCGCTCCTTGGACGACAGCTGCTGTTGCAGATCGTGCAGCTGGGTGGACGCGTGTTCCGATTCGTCGCGCGCTGCGCGTGCATCCCTCTCCGCATGTACGGCCCGCGTCTCAAAGTGCTGCGCCTTCTCTGCCAGCGCTGACACCGCCTCCTCTGCGTTTCTCGCTCGCGTGCGCGCCACCTGCAGCTGCCGTGTGAGGTCGTCCACCACCGCCCTGTTGGCGTGTGCTGTCCGCTGCGCCTCCTCCTCTGCTTGCTCCTTCCGCGCGTGGGTGTCCGCAATTTGCCGCCGCAGCTGTGCGATTTCGCTGTGCGCGGCATCCCGTGCCACCAGTGCAGCCTGCAGTTGCGTCTCCGCGTCGCTCAGTGCCTCGTTCTTCTGCTTCAGCACCGCCACTTTGCCTCGCAGCTTTGCCGCCTGCTGCTGCAACGCGGCCTGCTCCGCGTTCGCCGTTTGCACGGCCCTGTCCGTCTCCTGTGCGCGTGATCGCAGCGCATCTGCCTCTGCCTGCAGCGCGTGCAGCTGCTGCTCGGCATGCTCCTTGGCCGTCTTGGTGGAGGCAAGTTCCTGCTCCAGCTTCTTTGCCCTCTCCAGCGAGAAGTCGTGTCGTTCCTGCAAGCGCCTGGCCGTTGCTTCCTGCTCCGTCGCCGTCTTTGCCAGGCGCTCAGTCTCCTCCCGCAGCTTCATGTTGTCGCGGAGCGCCTCGCCCAGCTGTGACTCCACCGCCGTCTTCACCCCCAGCGCAGACTGCAGCTCGGCCTTAAACGCCTTCACCTGCTGCTGTACGCCGGCCACGCGCTGCTTCGCGTCGTCCTCGCTGCGCTGCAGACGTGACTGCGCCTCCGAGGCGGCGCGATCAGCCTCCGCCTCGAGCTCTCCCGCCCGGCGCTGGGCAGCCTGCAGGTGCCGCGTCATGTCCGCGTTGTGCCGTTCGAGTGACTCCTTTTGCGACTGCAGCGTTGCGCACTGTGCACGCAGGGCGTCCATGGCGCCCTTGGTTTCCTGCTCCTGCGTGCTCAGGTCATGGCAGCGCGTTTGGGAGGCGGCGACCTGCGAGCGCAGCGCTATCAGCTCCTGCTGGGCCATCTCGTGCTTGCGCGACAGCTGCGCAAACTCCACGGAGATGTTGTCGAGCGCCGTGCGCACCTTGCCAAAGGCGTTGAGCACGGCCATGAGGTGCTGCTGCGGCACCGACGCTGACGACGACAACGAGGCAGTGGTGGAGGTGGAAGTGGACGTGGAAGCGTAGGCCGAGGCCAGCACATGCGCGGGAGGGAGTGCGCGTGACTGCAAGAGCACCATTGTGGAGGGGCGCACGCCATCTGCTGCTGCTGCTGCTGCTGCGGCCATTGCGGCGGAAGCGGATGAGTAAGACCCTATGCTGGGGTTGGAGTTGGTGGCACTGGCGTTGCCACCAGAGTGATGGCTGTACGGCGGCGTTGGTGCTGTTCTTGTCGCTGTTGCTCGCGCTGCCGCTTGCTCAGCCATGAGCGCGTTGTACTGGCGGTCAAGGGCTTCCTCGAGGGCGGCAAGGGTAGAGTGTGCACCTGTCAACTGCGTGGCGTTGGAGTCCAGGGCGGACTGCACTTCTGTGACGTGTTGCGCATGCCGCTGCTTGAGCTCTTCCCTGTCCTTGGTCAAGTCCTCGACAAGCTTGATCTTGCTGGCGCGGACCTGCGTGAGCTCCTGCTTCAGCCGCGCAATCTCTTCCTGCAGTTGCGTGCGGTTGTGGAGCAGGGCGCGCACGGTGTACTCGGTGGACCGCGCAAAGGCTGCGGCTGCGGGGCCGTCTGGTTTCATGGACAGGGACGCAGGCAGCGTCTGGGAGAGCGGATCGTGCTGGGCTTGCTGCTGTGTGCTGTCGTGGCGTGCCGTCGCTGCCATGAACGAGGAGGAGGAGGAGAGGTTTGCTGTCGACTGCACTGGCATCATTGTTGAGGAACGCCCTTGCTCGTCAAACCCAAGGGTGGTGTTGTTCAAGTGTTGGGTGGCAGCTGGCGTGGTTGCGGTTGCTGCGAAGGTGTCGGATGCATGTGGCAGCTGCAGCTGCTTGAGCATGCGCTGGAGCTGGGCGACGCGGGTTTTTGCGCGGGCAAGGTCTGCGTGGAGGGCGGCCTTGTCGTCGAGGGCCCGCTGCAGCTCAGCGGTGCGGGTGGAGGTGGAGGACTTCTGCTCCCTGGCCAGGTCTTGAAGCTGGGCCTCCAGCTGCTGCATGGCCTGCTCACGCAAGTGCGCGTCGCGCTCGTAGCCGGCCCGCACGCTGTCGAGCACGTCCTGCTTTGCGGCGAGGGCGGAGTCGAGGAGGTCGATGCGCTGGTTGAGGGCGTCCACCTCGGCCTGCAGCGTGTCTGCGCGGGCAGTCTCGTCGGCGAGGAGCTGCTGGTGTTGCCGCTTCTGGCGCTCCATGGCAGCCTCGAGCTGTTCCATGTCTGCAGCGTGGCGTGCCTGCATGGCATCCATCTCGCGCTGCAGGCTGTGTCGATCGGTGCCATTGTCCCCGAAATCATGATGTGTGGCATCGTCGCCATTTGCGGTGCGGACGGCGGACGACAAGAGCCTGCTGGTGTTGCTGGCTTTGCTTCTTGGGGATGAGGCAGGGTCCATTGACGCTGTGGTGTCCATCACATCCTGCAGCAGGCTGGTCATGAGGTCGGCGGTTGTTGTCGTTGTAGTTGTTGCTGCTGCTGTGTCGCCATCCATGTGGAGGTGCCCGCCGTGGTGTTGCTGGTGGAAGAGCACTGTTTCCTTGAATGCGTCGATGTGGCGTTGTAGCTGGTGGCGGTACCTGGCTTCCATGTCCTGCAGCTCTTGTTCGTGCGCATGTTCCAGGTCTTCAAATTGTTTTTCGTACGCCTCTCTCTGCGCCTTTAATCGCTGCTGCAACCGTTCCACCTCTTGCTGCAGCTGTTGATGTGGTTGTGGTTGTGGTTGTGGTTGTTGATGTGGCTGTAGTTGTGGTTGTGGTTGTGGTTGTTGATGTGGCTGGTGCTGTATCTCCTCGTGTCGAGCAGTGTGACCGTGGTTCTCTTGCTGATCATGCCGTTGCTGCGCCTCACCGTGTCGAGCAGTGTGACCATGGTTCTCTTGCTCCTCCTGCTGCTGCTGGATCTCGTGTCGACCGCCACCATCATCACGACTGCCGCCACTGTGGCGACGACTGCCGCCACCACCTTCACTGCTGCAGTTGTTGTCGTCTTCCATGGTTGTCACAGTCAGTTTTGAAATGGGTTGAATTTCAGGCCACCACTGATTTCAGCTTTATCGTCTGATTTCAGCTTTATCGTCTGATGTCAGATGAGCAACTGACATCAGTTTTGCGATATGGTGGTAACGAAGAAGGCGCTGTCTCACTGATCACTTCTTGTCAGAGCAAGCGATGCGTTGTGACATGTCGTGACGACACCGTGACGTCGAGTCGAGTCCTTGCTGCCCACTGCCCAGCAACAGCCCACCCACCACAAGAAGCCATCATCATCATGCGTGTCTTGCATTGTGTTTGCTGTTGCTTCGCCAACTCAAAGTTAGTTGCTTTGACATCTGCATGCGTGTTTGCTTCTGCACCGAGCTCTGCATCATCAGCATCAGCAGCCATAAGCAACGGCGCTGGACGCTTGCTTCTTGCTTGTTGTTGGTGTGTGGCGTGAGTGGTTGCTGTGCCATTTTATCCATATCCACCGCACGTGAAGCATCGCCCAGCAACACCGCTTTTACCCGTGCCACGTCCCCCGCATATCCGCACATCACCCCAGCAACCCACACACCGGTGACTTGGCACCCTCTCTCATCTCCGTGCTCACCCCCCGAACAAGGTCTCCAGGCAACAGCGGTGGTTGGGGAAGGAGGCGCAGGCGCGTACGACTTGAAATGCCATTGGATTCGTTCGTTCTTCTTGGGCGGGAGGAGGGGTGTTTGGGGTGGTTGTTTGTCGGGTGGATGTTTGTCGGGTGGATGTTTGGGGGTGGATGTTTGGGGTGGAGATGTTTGGGGGTGGATGTTTGGCTCGAAACGCAGCCACGTGCATTCACCCTCGCCACACGCACACGTTCACACCCTCGCCACACGCACACATTCACACCCATTCATTCTCACACACTTACACTCCCGCATACACATGCTCACCATGGCATCGCTTCCAAACCCAATCATGGCAGGTTGAGACGCGTGATCGTGAAGGATGACGATGACGATGATGGCGTCCTTCAATACACGCTGCTGCTGCTTGTTTCCGTTGCTGCTGGCAGTGGTGCTGGTTGTGATGACACCGCTTGCACAAGCCAGGCCCATTGCTGCTCGGCACCGCCGCGAAGTGACCGCATACTCTCTGGAGGAAATCGGTGCGGCTGGATCCAACTTTGTGGTCGACCACTTTGGCGCCCTGCCTGGCGTGACAGACCCGCGGCGGTACACAACCGCGTTCTCCTCCTCCGCCACCATCGCCGTCATCAACGGCGTCACTTCCCTCACGCCATGCATTGCCGCGTGCGAGCTTGATTCCGAGTGTCTCGGCATCTTTTACTGGCACGTCCCAAACGGCGACGTGCGCTGCTATCTCCTCTCGGACCTGGGCACGCCCGGCGGCATCACCACTGCCACCGTCTCCCTCAGCCTGCGCCGTTTGTTCCCCACCACAAGCAGATCTACAAGTGCAACAACGACCACCACCACATCAACCACATCCACAACTACATCAACCACCACCACAACCACCACAACAACCCCAACCACTACAGCAACCACAACCACAACCACCACTACATCCACAACCACCACAACCACCACAACTACAACCACAACCACCACAACCACCACAACTACAACCACTACAACCACAACTTTCGGGACACCAACAGTGTACGACATCATCCAAACAAAGCCGCAGTTCTCGTACCTGCTGCAAGCTGTGCAGGCCGCAGGCTTAGAAGCGGCACTGCAAACAACACCACACATTACGTTCTTCGCACCAGACAATGACGCGTTCGAGGACGCGTTTTCCCCAGCGGAGCTGGCAAACCCATCCCTGCTGGGCAGCCGTCTGGCAACCATGCTGCTGGGCCACGCTGCAACTAATCGATACACGGTATACGGGCTGTTTGTCAGTAACGGCGCGGTGCTGCCAACGCTGAATGGGCAGTCGTTTCTCTCTGTGGTCGTGAACCTCAACCTCATCTACATCAACGGCGCGCAATTGGTTGATGGCAACTTTGTCGCCTCCAACGGCATTGTGCACGAGATTGACGCCGTCCTACTCACCGAGCTTCTCACCACCACGACCACCACGAGCACCACGACCACCACCACATCGACAACGACGACCACAACCTCAACCACAACTACAACACTGCCCGGTTCAACGACAACCACCACAACCACGACTGCAACCACGACTACAACTACCACCACAACCACGACTACGACTACAACCACAACCACGACTACGACTACAACCACGACTACAACCACGACTACAACAACGACGACAACGACGTCCACAACGTCGAGCACATCCACAATGACACTGCCAAACCTGGTGTCCTTTGTGAACAGTGACAGTCGCTTCAGCATGTTTGCGTCCCTGATTGATTCCTCCTTCTTGGAGCCGACCCTGAGCAACCTTGGGCAGCAGTTTACGTTCTTCATTCCCACAGACGAAGCCTTTGCCAAGGTGCCGCCAGCGGTGCTTGCAGAGCTGCAGAGCAGCCCGCTGGAGCAGCGCCGCTTCATCTTGTACCACATGCTCCCTCGCCGGCACACAGCAGCCACACTGCGCCACGTCGCCCCGCACGTGTACACGTCACTGGTTTCCAGCGAACCCAACCTGCTTGTCAGGAACATTGGCGGCGTGCTCTCTGTCAACGGCGCAGACATTGTGGCAGAGGACATTGAGTTTCAACACGGCCTCATCCACGCCCTGGACCGCGTCCTCTACCTCGACTACACCACAACCACAACCACGACGACCTCCACGACAACCTCTACCACAACCACCACAACCACGCCCGTCCCAGCCTCCAGCAGCAGCGTCATGTGACGGCGTTAGCGCTAGCCTGGGGCGTGTCGTTTCCTTGCGTTGTTTCCTTCCAATCGAGTGTTTCGTGTCATCACAACGTACCTTGTGTCAACAGTCCTCCTCTTCACACACACTCCCCCCCCCCCACACACACAGAAAAACCTAACCTCGGCTCATAAACCTTGTGCCTGCAAGCAAGCAATCAGAAACAGAGGATGATGACAATGCTGCTGCTGCTGCTGCTGCTCTCTCTCTCTCTTTGACTGCGAGATGAGCGCTCCCTGAGTGTGGATACTTTCATGTCGGTGTTTACGAACCAAGAAGGGGTGACGTGAAAGCAACACGCCAATGTCGTGCATGGAACGGGGGAAAAGCTGATGTGACACATGTGACACGTCGATGCCACGGACAAAGACACAGACAGACACATGGGTGGTTGACCACGTAGAGGTGCTAACAGCTGTTGGGTGCGGGTCAACAAATGAGGATGGAGATGAATGAGTCGGCCGTATGATGGGGCTTCACATCACAGCAAAAACACAGCGAAGAAACAAAGACGACGGTAGGCTGTGATGCGTGTGCGTGTGCGCGTGGCTGGTGTTGTTAGGGGAGGAGAAGAGAGGAGGAGGGAGGAACTTGTGCCTTGAAAATGCTCAGGCAAACATGTCCTCACGATCCGCAGCATATTCCTCGGCACTCTCTTCCAATGCGCCAAACGACTGGAAGTGGTTGGGACGGTGAACCTCATGGTAGTACTCCTGCAACACACACATACGACAGCACACCGCACATGGGCAGTGAGCGACAGGGTTGAAAGCAGACACACAGAGACAGAGAGACAGACACGGGGAAGAGGTGCGGTATGCAAGGGATAAAGGAGGAGGAGGATGACGGATGTGCAGCAAAACCAAGACATACAGACATACACACGCACACAGATAGACACACACACACACACACACACACACAGAGAGATAGACACGCACACGCACACAGATAGACACACACACACATATCCACACACCTTGGGGTTGGCGAGCTGGAGAGAATAGCGCATAGCGGTCTTGTGCTTGGCGCCAACAAAGTTGTAGTTCCAAGAGCCTTCCGCGGGCGTCATGAAGAAGCCGTAGAAGCGATCGGACAGCAGCATCTGCACCTTCTCGTAGTGCTGGGGCGAGTAGCCCTCCGGGTTGCCGCTCTTGTCCTTGTTGTTCTTGCCCCACTCAAATCCGGACACGGTGAGCTTGTAGGCCGTGAGGGACACGGAGCCGGGCGTGAAGCTGCACGTGATGATGCACGTCTTGTCCAGCTCCCACTCCTCGTGATCGCTCATGATGCGGGCGTGCGTCGTCACGTCAATCGGCGACAGCTGCGGCAGCTCGCTCGGCTGCGTGTGGATCCAGCCGAGCGGCTCCAGGTCGTCCAGATACTCGTGGTCAGGCAGCTGCGTCGGCAGCGTCACGCTCTGGTGCGTGCCGTACTGCGGCACCATCACAATGCAGTGGATCTCCTTCACCTGCGGGTTGTCCGGCGGCGACTTGCCGTACAGGTAGCCGGCAATCTGCGTGCGCAGGTCGCTAATCACCACAAACTTGGTCAGCACGTTCTTGGGCAGGATGTACGTGTAGCCCGTCTCGGAGATGTCGTCGTTGACGTAAATGTGCTTGGTGCGCAGCGGGAGGTTGGTGGAGCTGATGGCACGCACGCGCCAGTCCGTCTTGGAGGAGAAGGCCGCCCGCTCGTAATTGGTGGTGGTGTGCGTGATAATCTCGTCGCCGTGCACGTTGGTGGTCTTGGTGGCCGTGGAGGTGAGCGCGCTCTGCTCGCGCGTCTGCTTCTCAATCTCCGCAATCTGCTGCCGCTGCTGCGACGGCGCAGAAATCTCCATACCCAGGATGATGTCGCGAATCTCAGACTGCGTGAGGGACGCCGTGTTGACGTTGTTCTTCTTGCCGTAGTCGGTCAGGATGAGGTCCTTGAGCGCAACCTCGACGCGGATCCACTCCTCGTCCGACAGCGACGGCCAGATGTGGTGCGGCTCCGTGATGGTCGTCTTGTCCGGCCGCAGGATGCGCTTGGCCTTGTCGATGTTCACGTGCAGCGCACGCAGGATGAGGATGAGGCGCGAGAACGCCGTGTACGAGGAGATGTTGCGCAGCCAGTCGTCGTAGAGGTTGAACAGCACCATCTGCGGCTCCGTGGCCTTGAGAATGAGGTCCCCAAACTTCTCCACCTTGAGGCACGCCTGGAACGGCAGCTGCAGCTCAGAGCCCTTGATGACAATGTTGGGGAAATCCAGGCAGTGAACCTCGAGTGGGTCAAGCATGCCCTTGCGCGTGACGATAATCTGCTTCGGCTGCTCCTCCACGGGAAGCGAGCGAATCAGGGCAGCGACTTCCTCAGCAGTCTTCCACTTGGCCAGCTGGGACAGACGCTTCTGGCCAGCCCACACAGAGGTGTGGATGATCTTCAGGAACAGCTGGCCCGTGCGCGGGTTGAAGATGAAGATGGCGCCGTTGATGGGTTTCGTCTGCGAGGGGTTGTATGTTTGAGAGACAAGGAAAGCGCGTGCGTGCGTGCGTGCGTGAGCGAGTAAGTGAGCGAGTAAGTGAGCGAGTGAGTGAGTGAGTGAGTGAGTGAGTGAGTGAGTGAGTGAGTGAGTGAGTGAGTGAGTCGTTGGTTGAGCCAAAGGGGGCATGTGAATCAGTGGAAAAGAGAGCAAGACACAACAAGAAAACAAAAGAAACCCACACAAACCAACACTCAAACATCACCCAAAAACAACACAAACCCAACACAAACCAACACGAAACAGTGAACATGGCAAGCAGCGCCCCCAACTCACCGTCAAGTTGCCTTCAAAGGTCTTGTGGATGGTGACGCGGTAGACGTTGGTATCATCAACAAACCAGATAATCTGGTTGGAGAAGAGCTCGTTGTAGTTCTGGGACGACAGGTACGGCTCCGTCGGCTCGGACGAGTACAGCTGCAGGCCCTTGCGAATGCGCTCACGCAGCACATACAACGCGGGGTTGGCCTTGATAATCTTGGCCATGGCCTGCTGCAGCAGCACCTTGCAACCCGGGAACCAGTTGCCAAAGGCAGAGTGCAGGTTGTACGCCAAGTCAATGGCAATCAGCACACCCGTTGGCGAGGGATAGATGGACATGTTGTCCGTGGTGTAGTCGAGGAACTTGGCGCGGGAATAGCGCTCCACATCGTGGCTGTCGTAGTCGCCCCAGCGAAGCTGCACATCGAGCCAGTAGCGGTCGGAGGTGGTCGCGTCCATGACGTCGTGCGTGTCCGCGAGCAGGGAAGGCTTGGAGATGGGCCACTTCTGCGAGGCAAACAGCAGGATGTCGGCACAGCTCGAGTTCATCTTGTACGACTTTCGCGGGTGGATCGACTCCTTCTGCACCGTGTCAATCTCAAGCGCATCCAGCTCCTGATCAAACACTTGGCACCTGTTTTGTGGGGGTTTGGGGTTGGCAAAGCAAAACAAAGGCAAACGAGCATGGATTACCACAGTGTGAGAACAGCGCTCGCAAAGACAAACCCACTCGCAATGAACGATGACGATGACGATGACAACAACAACAACAACAACACAACTACCAGCAGCAGCAGTAATGACATGGCAAGGGACAAGAAAACAAGAACTTACAGATCCATGACCACGCTCTCGTGGATCTTCTGCCACAAATGCGCGCGGAAGATCTGGATGAGGGAGATCTTGAGCGTGGGAATCTTGCCGTGCATGAAGATGCCGGTAAGATCCAGCTGCACCTGGAACCCAACGTACACGTTGGCGCGGTTGATGGTTGGCGACCACCACAGCGTGAAGCGGCGGTTGGGAATCTGGTTCAGACCAGAGCGCTGGGCGTTGGTGAGCTTCTTGTACTTCATGCTCTCCTCAAAACCGCTGTTGTGCGTGACCAGAAAGTCCGCGCGCAGGAACCGCTTGTTGCCGTCCACGAAAAAGCCGACGTATGGCTCCGGCTGCTCAAGCTGGCGCACGGCCGCAATCTTGTACGTGGTGCACTCGCCAGCTTCTGCATGAGTGCCCGCCTCGCCGAGGGACACCACCTGGCGGTACATGAGCAGGTTGCTCTGCACGGCCTCCGGCAGCTGCGTGTACTCCTCCACCGTCATCTCAAACAGCGTGCTGTCCTGTGGCTGTTGTGCCTGGGGCATCGCGGCGCCGTTGACGGAGGCATCGCCCGTGGCTGCGGTGGCGGCACGCAGGGCTGCGGCCTTGAGCTTGCGTGCGACTTCCTCCTGCTGCTCATCAACAGAGAGGTGCGCAGAGGGCTTGAGGCAGAGAATGTGGTTGCCTGTGACCACGAGCGGCTCCACGTCAGAGCTGGCAACCGTCACCTCGTACAGGCGGGAGAGACCCGTGACCACGTGCTGCACGTTGCGCGGGGTGCCGTCGTCACCCATGAGCTTGTCGCCCACACGCACGTCGCTGGCACGGACAATGTCACCAGAGGCAAGCAGCAGCTCGGTGGTTGTGCGGAAGCACGCCTTCTCCCAGAAGAGACCCTCCCAAGTGGGGAAGTACGTGCCCTTGAACAGCGTGTGCTCCAGGATGCCTTCGACACCACCCAGCGCCTGGATCATGTCTGTGCGGTAGTTGTTCAGGTTCCACAGCTTGCCATCGTGGCGCCTGCAGTGCGGGAGGAAAATTCAAGGGAGGAGAAGAGCGAGGGAAGGGGGACAGGAGGGTCGTGTGGTGAGGGGCAGGCGTGGTAGAGGGCCATTGCAAGTGAGTCCGCCACACTTCATGCAAAGGTCAACTGAAACACGCACACACACACACACACACACACACGCACACACACACACACACACACACACACACACACACACACACAAACGCAGTCAACAGACGGCAGAGGGTGCAAGCAGAGGTATTGGAACTCACATGTGTGTCCACCAGAAGGGGTTATTGCGGAGAATCTGGTACTGCTTGAACTCTGTGCGCACACGCCAGCCCTTGTCGTAAGCGAGGGTGTGGCGGTCCTTCTGGAAGAGCGTGTTGATGCGCGGGATACCGCGATCCCACGAGTCCTCCAAGTCCTCAAGCGTCAGGCGGCGGTTCTGGGCGTTGGCCTCTTGCCGCTTCAGCGCAAACTCGGCCCACACGCGCTGCGAGTCGATAAACTCAGACTCCCAGGGCTGCAGGTAGCGGTACAGGTTGGGGATGACCTGGTCCTCCTCGTGAGACATGCCAGAGCGGAAGTGGGTGATGCCAACGTCCGTCTGCTTGCTCCAGCGAAGATCCGACTGGGGAATCAGCACGTGACCCATCGACAGCATACCCAGGCCGCCAAGCTCCTTCGGGCTGCACACGTTGTACGTTTGAAAAAGGCAAAACAAAGCATTCATGGAAGGGGGGGGGGAAGAGAAATCACATGAGGTGAGGGCTGAAGCGCGCACGCGACTGAAGCACGAAGGGAGGACCAGAATCCCAGACGAGCAGCAGGGAAGACTTGACACACACACGCACGCACGCACAGAAGGAAAACAAAACTCACCAGTAGAAGACGACTGCGTGAATGCAAGGCGAGGAGACGATTGTTGGGGTGGGTGGAGTGGGTGGATGTGGAGGTGAAGACAACAGCGTGAGCGGTGAGGAGCAATAATGAACAAGCATGCGCACACAAACCAGGCGATCATGACGCCAAAGAAGAAAAGAGGACAGCCAACACATGCACACCCACCCACGCCCACACACGCATAGCATACAAAGGCGTACACAAATACACTCTCTCCGCCCCCTCCCCCTCACACACACCCACGTGCAATGGCACAAAAACCAACCTGGAGGGAACCTGGAAGGCATCTTGGAGTTGAGACCAATCTTGACACGGGTCTGGATCTTGTTCTCGCACTTGACGAGGAGGTCGAGCAGCTCCTGCGTGTTGACGACGGCCTCCCGGAAGTAGGTCATGAGGCCAATGAGGGCCGTGTTCCACTTGTTGACCACCTTGGTGAAGGTGGTGGCGCCGGAGGACATGAGAATCTGGCGCACACGGTTGTGGAAGCGGGCCTGCGACTCCTCGTCGACGCGGAGGAAGGCCTGCGCGGTGCGCTCCTTGGTGATCTCGTTCTGCAGGTTCCACACGCCGTCGCGGTGGTTGGCGTCGTTGAAGGTGGCGCGGATCTTGGGCAGGATGCGCACGTCAAAGCCCGTCATGTTGAAGAGGAGGTTGGGGTTGTCCTTGCTGTACACGGAGGCGAAGCTGTTCTCCCACTCAATGGTGGTGATGGAGCGCGGCAGGCGGTTCTTGATGTCCCAGAAGACGGCGCGGCCCAGGTTGACGTCGTGCTTCATGAGGCGCATGCGCGCGTCGCGCGGCCAGCACTTCTTGTTGTTGTAGCCAACAATGTTCTCGTTGTTGGGGTCTGGGTGCTCGGTGAGGTAGCGCTGGATGAGGTCGCGGGCCTCCTCAGCGGTGAAGCGGAAGAACATGTGAATGCGGTCGACGTACCGGGCGTACAGGCGAATCGGGTGCGCCGTCTCCGTCTCCACGCTCTCAAAGGTGTGGAAGTCGTTGGGCAGCGTGGGCGGGCCGGCCATCTCCGACGCGCGGTTGAGGCCGAGCACGAGGAGGTCCAAGATCAGGCCGTAAAACTGCACGATAAACGAGGCAAACTGCAGGCCGCGGATGATGCCGTACGAGTTGGTGTGGTTCATGTCCTTGAAGTTGATGACGACGTTGTTCTTCGCCGTCATGTAGTCGGCGACGTTCTGGTCCACCACCAGGCGCAGCAGGCGGTTGAGCACGGTGAGGTCAATCTTCTCGTACAGCTTCTCAAAGCGCGTCTCCAGCATGACGTTGCACTGGCCCTCGGACGTGTCCCACACGTCCTGCAGGTTGTTGATGCCCTGGCACCACTTGTACACGAGCAGCGGCGCGGGCTCCGTGTCGCTGGGCTTGACCCAGGCCGGGAAGAGCTTGCGCTTGTCCGCCTCGTACCACAGGTACTGGTCGAGGTAAGCGTCGGTGATCTTCTCCAGCGGCTCAATGTCGTACACGGGGATGAGGTGGCTGTACATGTCCATAAACTCAATGCCAACCTCCTTGAAGGCGCGCTGCGTGAGGAGGTGGCGCTTGATGCGCATGAGGGCCTCGTGCGGGTTGTCGTAGGCCTGCTCGATGAGGCCGAGCTCCTCGCGCTGCGACGAGTTGAGGCGGTTCTTCACGCTGTACGCCTCGCGCAGGCGCTCCAGCGCCAGGATGAGCAGCTTGGTGTCGTGCTTGTAGGTGAGCGGCGGGAAGGGGATGTGCTTGAAGCGGCGCGACTCGAGCCAGTGCACGGTGGTGGTGTAGATGGCGACGGCCTCCTCGGCGCTGATGTAAGGGCCGTCCTTGAGGTAGTTGTGCTGGCGCTCCTGCTCCGCCTTGAGGTGCAGGCGGGTGAGGCGGCCCAGGTTCTTCTTGCACACGGTCTTGTCGACGGTGGCGCCGCGGCGGATGCGCTCGCGGTTGTAATGAGCGGTGTTGGTCCACCAGTCGGCCTTGGCCTTGACGTAGCGCAGGATCATGTTCTCAATGGGCGTGGGCAGGCCGGGCACCTTCCAGGGGATGTTGGCCTTCCAGCAGCGCCACGCCTCGGAGAGATGCTGCATGATGACGCGGGCCTTGTTGGCCTTGACGCCCTCGGGCATCATGTCGAGGATGTCGTGCATGACTGAGGCGCGCAGCTCCAAATCGTAGTGGCTCTCCACGCGCTGCTTGGTCACCGTCTTGGCCACGCCCTTGTTGGTACGGCCCTCAAACTGGCGCGCAAGCAGGTTGCCGAGCCAGCGCTCGAGGAGGGGCACCACACCGCGCAGGAAGAACAGCCACACGCGCCAGCCGGGCGCCCAGAAGCCAACGCCAGGGCCCTTGCCCACAGGTCCCGTCTGCAACCAGGACGAGGAGGGAGGGTGAGTGAAGGAGTGTGGTTGTCTGTGAGCAATAGCGGGGGATGTCTGTGTTTGACAAGGAGCAAGCAAACCGACAAACACCGAGTGGCAATCACCGAGTGCCAAACAGAAACACAAACACACGCACACGCACACACACACAACCATACGCACACACACACAGACATGCACACACACATACAAACAAACAAAACACACGCACACACACGAACGGACAACGACGGAGACACTCACGTTGAAGCGATAGTAGATGATGTGCTTCAAGTCCTTGCACATGCGAATCTGACGCATGAGCTTGTACTTGTAGCGGTACATGCCGGTGAGTTGGCCGACATGGGCGAATGTGTACTGGAGACCGTCTGCGAGCTGGAACGCATCGACGTTACCGAGACGGTACTGCACGTGCGAGTCAACCACGAGCTTGGTCAAGCGCAGAATCTCACGAAGCACTGGGTATGAGATGATGATGATGATGATGATGTGTGCGTGGGGGTGAATGTGCATGTAGATGTATGGGCATGCGTGGGAACATGTGGTGGTTGCACATGGTGTGATGCGCATCATGTGAGTTGATGAGACACAACAAAGAGTTTTTACGGAGTAGCAAGACAACAAGGGGCTTGTACAAAGTAGCAGCAGGACGACAAAAAAGGTGAGACGGGTCAAGACAGCTGCTCTTCAAGCACCCCCCGGCCACACACGCACACACACACACGCACACACACACACGCACACACACACACACACACACACACACACACACACACACACACAGACAAGCAGACACACTTACAATGGAAGGCGTTTCCGAAGCGGGACTTCTTACGCTCCTTTGTGGTGAGCGTCTTGACGGGCTTGAGGTTGAAGTTGTAGTCGAGATGGAGGTAGTTGAGGTTCTTGCGGTGGATGAGAAGGTTGAGCATGTTGTGGCCCTGGCGACACACCTGCAGGCCGACCTCGACCCAGTCGAGGGTGGTGGACTGGAAGAACTTTGTCTGCTTGAAGGAGCGGAAGAGGGAGCGGCGCTTGCAGGGCTTTGGCGGGCGCTTCTTGAGAGCGTTAAGGACGAAGATCTTGAGCATCTTCTGGTAGGAGACGCGCACCTTGACGGGCTGTCCGGCGGGGCAGTGCTCCTGGTACCAGGTCTTGATGAGGGGCACGTCGATGGCGCGGCGCATGTAGCCGGAGCGGGTGTTGAAGGGGCGGGGCGCCCAGAGGAGGGCAATGGCGGCGGCGGTGCGGTCTGTGTAGAGCGGCGCCTCGGCCAGGAAGGGCTCCACCTCCTCCGGCAGGAAAAACTCCTCCGACTCGTCAAAGGTGTCTGTGGCGCGGACGGCCTGGCGGTGGGAGATGGGGTTGATGATGGGGTCGTAGTAGAAGGCGGGGAGGTCTGGGTCGTCCGTCTTGATGAACACGACGGGCGGGGTGTGGTACTTGCAGAGGTACACGCGACGGGGCATGCTGTTGTAGAGGTAAGGGAACGCGACGCGGTACTCCGTGCGGATGGAGTGGCGGATGATGATCTTGTTGATGTCGTTGAACTCGTTCCAGTCCTCGTCGGCTGGGTTGAGGTCGCGGAAGAGCGGCTCAAACTTGGGGCCGCCCGGGATGGCGACGTTGAGCGCCTTTGCGGTGAAAAACGCCTTGGCGTCAAACAGGTGGAAGTAGTTGTCGTCGAGCAGGTCCGAGAGGAGGGAGCCCGAGAGGCGGAAGAGCGTGGCCATGATGGGGATGGTGAGGTACCACTTGCGGTAGGAGGGCCCGTTGACCATGCGCGTGTCCACGAGGGGCTTGTGGTCGTAGAACCACTCCCACACGGCAGAGTCCTCCTCCTCGTCCAGCTCCATCTGGATGGGATCGAGCGGGGGCACGTTCATGATGTTGTCGCCGTAGTCCAGCGGCGGCTCTTCGTCGTCAAAGGGCGGGAAGCGCATGCGCTTGAAGTGGCGGCGATCACGCTTCTCACGACGCATCATGATCCACATGGTACCCCACTGCGCAATGTAGATGGGCTCAATCACCCATGGAATCTCGTTCACAAACGTGATGGCACCAGTGGTGTGGTACAGCACCTTGACATCGCGAATCTGTCATGTGTGTGTGTGAGCGTGTGTGTTGTGTGACCGTATGTGTGTGTGAGCGTATGTGTGTGTGTGTGTGTGTAACGTATATTGTGTGTGTGTGTGTGTGTGTGTAACGTATATTGTGTGTGTGTGTGTGTAACGTATATATATATTGTGTGTGTGTGTGTGTGTAACGTATATTGTGTGTGTGTGTTGTGTGTAACGTATATTGTGTGTGTGTGTGTGTGTGTGTGTGTGTATGTGTGGAAACGGGTGGCTGCTTGCAACCAAGTGCATGAGTGCGTGCGCACACCGCACCACTGCTCATTCCCCGTGTACATTGCACCGACAGTGATAGCAAGTGCCTTCCCCCCTCCCCCAATCCCCCACTGGTCCCCTGTTCCCTTTGCCATCAACCAACCGCCACCACTCGCCGCACTGTACCTGTTCCCATGGCATGGGCATGTTTTCGAGGAGCTTGATGACGGCGTGAGGCATGTACTTGAGGGCGCCGAGGTAAGCGCGCTTGTCGTGGCGGAACTTGCGGCTGGACATGTCACCATGGTTCTTGATGATGACACGAATCTGTGAGGGAGGCATGTCCTCCTTTTGCGGGTCGACAAAGCCAAACTTGCGCTTCTCTGCATAGCGGCGCGACTGCAGCTGCTTCCACTTGCGTGCCTTCTCCTGCAGCTGCTCTTCACTTGGCGGGGACGGCGGCATGCCGGCTGCCGCCGACTTGCTTGCACTGCTCATCCTGCTGCTGCTGCTATCGTGGTCGTGGTCGTTGGTCGCGGTTGTTGGTTGTCGTGAATTGGTGAGGTTGTGTTGGTCGGCGTTGACGACAATGTGGATGCGTGGGCGTTGGTGAGTTTGTAGAAGGGGGGAACAGCGATTGCAAACGCACGCAGGAACAACTACGCACGAGATGCGCGAAAAACTCGGATCACACACACACACACACACACGAGATGCACACACAGACACAAACACACGCACAGGATGTACCTTGCACTGGTATCAGCAAAGTGTCTGAGCTGGTGTTGAGGCAAAGGCAGGAAGCAAGTGCGTGGTGGAACTTGTGGATGGATACGTCAAAACAACAACAACAACAACAACAACAACGGCAGCTTGTGTTGATGGCGCTCTCCGTGTGTCTCTCCTTGTCTCTCGCACACGCCACACAATCAACCTTCTTTTCAGTGCGTACGTTTGCACGACTTGTTGCTGTTGCAGGCGCGCGTGTGTGTGGAGTGTGCTGTGGTTCAGAGGCACAAAGGCACAGCAGAGGCACAAATGCGCAATTTTGATCATTTGGAAGTTTCGCAATAATTTCCATCAATGACCGCGCAACCGTCTACCGTCTGCGGCAGCATAAACTGTAGCAGATACCAAGAGCAGAGTTGAGCCAGCGAGCGAGCAGCAGCAGACACCACACAACCGCAGTGGAGGACGATGCACAGACGATCTGTCAACGGGAAGGCTGGCAGCAAGCAGCCGCGGTTGGAGGTGCACATCAAGTATGAAAACCCTCTGCCTGAGATTCCTTTCCCACCAAAATTCCTCCCTCATCCCATGGACATTGAAGAGTGAGTGCGTGAGTGTGAGTGAGAGTGTGAGTGAGTGTGAGTGAGTGCGTGAGTGTGAGTGAGAGTGTGAGAGTGAGTGTGAGAGTGAGTGTGAGAGTGAGAGTGAGAGTGAGTGTGAGTGTGAGTGTGAGAGTGAGTGTGAGTGTGAGTGAGAGTGTGGGTGTGAGTGTGAGTGTGAGTGTGAGTGTGAGTGTGAGTGTGAGTGTGAGTGTGAGTGTGAGTGTGAGTATGAATGTGAATGTGTGTGATGAGTGTAAACGATACGCGTGGCGTCTTTTTTCATGTGCCAACGAACCACCCGCGCCACATCCAACAGGTTTGCAGAGTACGATGCAGTGAACGACCTGACGAACCAGTGCCGACAAAGGGTGAGCGCCGGCATGAAGTCTTGCATTGCTTCTGTTGCTGGTTCATGGCCGCTCTTCTAGTTCCGTTTCTTTGTTCTTTATGCGCTGTGGTTCTGTTGTTGGCTGTTCCACTCACCACTGTCTGATTCGGTTGCACGCGCGCATCTGTGTTTGTCGACAACACGCGGCATTTCAATGTGCAGTTTCTCATTGGCCGCGATGTGGGTGCCCCCGTCAACCTGCTGAAAGAGGAAGACTACCTCGTGCCTGACGGTAAAGCTTTGCCGCATGCGAGAGAGTGTGCACGTGTTTGCATCTGTGTGTGTGTGTGTGTGTGTGCATCTGTGTGTGAGTGTGTTTGCATCTGTGTGTGTGCATCTCTGCATCTGCGCATCTGTGCATCTGTGCATCTGTGCATCTGTGTATGCGTGTGTGCGGTTTTGTTGCCAGTGTTGATCGAAGCATGTGAATGGATGGGTTGGTCAGTGCCCGCGGATTTGGACCCGGATGATGCCAGCTTGCTCGAGGACGACGACCTCGACGCCAAAGCAAAGTGCGACACGCTGCTGCATGTGTGTGTGCGTGTGTATGTGTGTGTGTGTGTGCGTGAACACTTCGGGGCCAAATCAGCCATATCAGCTATATCCGCCTGCGCTCAGCTGCTTGCTATCACACCGGCTCACCACTGTTGTGCTGCTGCTGCGCCATCCACGCAGGGGTGTGGGCATGGGGGCGACAGCGTTCCTCCGCAAGCCAGAATACCTCAGCGCAGACACGCGCGCCCTGGTCCGTGAGACAGTGCGCATGTGCACATGTGTTTGTGTACGAGTGTGAAGCATTGCATGCGCTCTCCTGCGTGTGCGTGCGTGGGTATGCCCCGGCGTGTCTGAACCAAGTCATGATTAATGTTGTGCTGTCGTGTCCCCTCTGCATCATCAA